GCTCAGTTCCACCACCAAAACGTTTCCCCTACCAGCACAAAGCCACTTCCAGGACTGAAAATTGAATCAGTGGGAATAGTAGGAAAAAAAAAAAAAAAAAAAAAAACAAAAAACGTATTTTTATCATTTTGCTCAAATCCCAAAATTATCTGTGCCCAGACAAAGTTCCTGTGTTTAAGTTGCTGTTTTTAAGTTGCTCTTTGTAAATTCCTCGATTTAAGTTAAAATAGGTTTGAGCAGGAAAAAGATTTCAGGAGGAAGTCCTGGAACCTGAAAACTTGAGGAATTTGGGGATTTTAAAATAAAACAAATAATAATAAAAATTCCAGTTTACTCACAATTGTTGCTACCGAGATATTCCCAAGGATGAGGATTCATTCCCAGAGATTGGGATTCATTCCCAGCACCTGGGCATGCAGAGGTGCTGAGGCTCCACCTGAACTGAGCAAAGAATTTGGGATTTGTGCTACAAATCAGGGAAAAAAACTCCTCAGAGCAGCAAAGCAAGCCCCTCCCTCAAAGGGGGAGGATTTAGGAATGGCCCCCAGCATCCAGCACTTGCTGCTTTCCCGGAAAATCCAGGAATTTCCAGCCCTCCATCACCCCCCTGGCCTATCAGGTATCCCCATCCCGGGGGATTTTCCCTGAATGGGGCAGCAAATTCCAAGCGGGATCTTATGGAGCCTGAATGACATCACCCCCCCCAGGCACTGCACGGCACCTTTGTCTCCCAAAATGCCCGGAAAACAAGGAATTCTCTCTTTGGGAACACAGATGGATCCGTGGCACCCATTCCCAACATCCCCCAAAAAAAAGAAGCCATCCATTCCCCTCCATCCCAAGGCTCACACTGAGGCAAAAACATGAAATTTCAGTGTCACCACCTCCTACTTCACACACGTGCAACACCAAATATTCCCAAAATTCACCAGATCAAAGGCCCAAATATCCCATTCGGAGCCCAAACTCATCCCAAATTTAACAGGAAGGCAATTCCCAATCATGAGGTGATCCTAAAACCCCATTCCAAAGGGGAGCAGCTGCAACCTGCAACCCAAAAAATAAGGAACAGAACGTTGCAAGGCCCTGGCTGAGCTCAGAGTCACTCCTTTGACAGAAATAAATAAAAATAGATAGAAATAAATAGAAATAAATAGAAATTCTCCAAGGATTTATTTCTTACCTAATTATAGCTGAAGTTTAATGTCCTGGGATTTTGCCCAGCAGGAGCAGGGACACCTTGGGAATTGCTCTCAATTCCACAGGAGAGAATAAATCCCTTTCATGCTCCTTTACACCAGAAATTTGCCATAAAATTCCAATCTGGGAATGGGTTGTGCAGGCAAACACCAAGCACCAAGCTCAGGAGATTTTTCCTGTTGGACTTCCAGCTGCAAAAAGCTGGGAATTATAATTATTTCCTGCTACCCGGGAATGACACACTCTGGATTTCCAGCTGGAAAACTTCCACTGCTGCATTTCAAACAGGAAGGGGAAAGGGAATTACAAAGATGCTGTGGAAGCTGTAAAATCTTGGAGCAATCCAGAGGGAACCCACTGGAAATGAGACTCTACAAGGAGCTCCAGCTCCTTCCTGAACCAGCCTCTTCCTCACATCAATATTTTGGGATCAAATTTTGACTCCTGGCTCATATTCTCCTGAGTTTTAGGTCCACCTCCACATCATTCCCAGGGATTGCAGCCTCTGGTGTGGATCCCAAAAAGCTGAAGGAGTGGTGTAGCTGCAGGGATGGAGCATTTTTAGAGAAGCTTAACTCCAAAAAATGGGAAAAGTCAGGAAAAAAAAATCAAGGAAAAAGAAAATAACCTGTTCTACCAACACTCCATCAACCAGAGCCACACTGGGACGTCCTCAAGACTTTTCCTCAAGGAGTTCTAAAATTCTGGAAGGAAAAATGCCCATTAAAAACAGGTGCTGATAAATCCTCTCTTCCTTTCTAAATATCCAAACGAATTATATTTAAAATTCCATCAGCACATCTGGGAACAGGCTGCTCCAAAAAGCTCCAGCTGCCCCATTCCTGGAAATGTCCCAGGTAAGGATCCCAAATTTCCCATTCAGGCTCCCAAGGCCAGACACATAAAGTAATAATCCAAGTTTCCAGACACTTTAAAGCTGGAAAACCCATGGATACGCTCAAGCAGCGAGAGTCAAGCTTCTCCCTTTCCTCTCCTCATCCCACAGACCATCATTAATTTCCTTAATAAAGGAGAAGAGCATTCCAAGGGAAATGCAGGTGGAAAACTCAGCCTTTCCCTCCCCTCAGCATCTCCCAGGTGGATTGGAACATACTCCAGGACCTAAATGTGGGTGTTTAGCCACAGCACTTTGGACAGGAGCTTGTGCCGAGGGAACCAACCTTATGGATGGTTTTCCTTAGGGAAAAGCAGAAAATAGAATCCAGATTCCCAAAAAAACCATCCCAAAGTGACACCAAAAGGGAACAGCCTGGGAGACTCTACAGCTCCAATAAGCATAAAAAAAATTCCTAGGAACAGCCACAACCAAGAAACCTGGAGTTCCAGACTGTCTGAATCTGTATCAGGTCACGGTAACAAAACCAACAGAATATTCCATAGTCTGATCCTAAATCCCAACCCTCCAAACCACCCAGCAAGCCCCACCAGGATCACCAGGATGGCTGGAAAAGCTTCTTCCTCCAAAAGGGAGCTGAATTCCTGCTGGGGAGGTCTCCAGAAGCAGATGGATAAATGTAATTTCCATGATAACAGACCAACATGAGGAAAAAAAATCCTTGGAGTATGAATTCTGTCCTATCATGAAGGTGTCACTGATCCAAGAGGTTCCTGCACCCTCAGGATGGGGATGATCTTGGAATCTTCTTCCAGGAAACAGCAGCAACAAGAGATGAAGTAGCTTCTGCTCACAGCAGGATACAAACATCCATCCGTGTCCATCAGGAACAGCTTGTCCAGAGAAGCTGTGGATGCCCCTGGATTCCTGAAAGTGCCCAAGGCCAGGCTGGACAGGGCTTGGAGCAGCCTGGGACAGTGGGAGGTGTCCCTGCCATGGCAGGGGTGGCACTGGATGAGCTTTGAGGCCCCTTCCAACCCAAACCAGTCTGGTATTCTAAGCAGGTCCAGGCCAGCATGGGCAACTCCATGGAAAAGCTCCATGTGGAATGTGGTGGCACCTCTGAGCTCTGAGAATTGGGCTGGCCCAAATTTAAGCATCCAAAAAGTCAAGGAGACCTGGTTCTGCTGGACACCGAAGTTCCCAGGTTGACAAGTGGACACAGAGAGCGACCCTCGAGGTAAAAGCCAGACAGAGTTCCTTTCCTACAGGAAAATTCCAGTAAAAGCCATCGTTCAGCTCCTGGCTCAGCATCCACCTTCTCCGGCCAGCCTGGAGCTCCAGCTCAGCAGCATCCCTGGAAGTGTCCAAGGCCAGGTTTGGAGCAGCCTGGGACAGTGGAAGGTGTCCCTGCCATGGCAGCAGGTGGATGAGATGATCCTTAGGACCCCTTCCCACCTAAACCATCCAGGGAATAATTCCCAGGAAAAGTAAGGTTGAGCATGAAGATTCACCAGGCTCTGATCAAACCTCTCCAAGCAGCACAATCCCAACGTTCCAAGCTACAAAAGCAGCTCATCCCAAAAAACCAGCCCTGCACACCCCTCCTCATCCCACCCCGCGGTGGGAACGGAATGGGGGAAGCCACAAACATCCCACAGGCAGCACGGCTCCTTTTGAATTCCACTCTTCCCAAACACCCAACAGATCCTCAGATGTTCCCAACAACCTTCAACCAATTATCCCAAAGGATCCCTTTCTCCAGGTAAAAGTTCTGTGCTGGGAACAGCACATCCAAATTAAGGCACGCCACTAACGAATGGAACGCCGGGATTCGAGGTGGGGATGGGGAAACAACAACCCTAAAAACACCAGGACAGCTCCCAAAAACTTTCTGAGTCCCAACACGCAACAGCCACCCCAAGGAAACCCCAAAATCAGGCCAATTAATCCATAATTCCATTAAAAAGTCGTTAGAGGAGCCGCTCCAGCTCCTTCCAACAGCCAGGTTGGTGCCACTAAACATTTTTAGACAACAAACAGCGACATGAGACAACGTGGACAATTTTGGACACCAAATTCCAAGTGCCAGATCAATCCCAGGCACAAGGGTCCCTCCACAGGCTCCAAATGACAAAGGTAAAACACCTGAATTAGCCTAAAAGTTTTGGGATGAACGAGAGTCCATTGGACCCAGAGGGTCTCCTGGGAAGTGATCATCCCACCAGGATTTACTCCCATCCCAGGAGCCACGTCTGGCAAAACACAACCTGGATTCCAAAGGAAAGCCTCCATTCCTCGCTAATTTTAGAAGGCTCAGCCACCGGCACCGTTTCAGCTGCAACAAGGGGAAGCTGTTCCTCAGCTGCTCCAGGTGGGCACGGGCAGAACTCATCCAAAAAAGGTTTGCTCTGCTGTCCCTGCTCAAAAAAAACCACCATTTTTATTTTGCCTCCAATCCAGCCGTTGCTTGGAGGGTGCTCCGTGCCAGATGTCTGCTCCTTCCACCCCAGAGCTGGCAAAGTTTATGGAGCCCTTGAATCCTTCGCCAAGGAAGTCTAAAAATGTAAAAATAGCGTTGAGAACCAGCGGGAAACGGGTGTGGGGGGAGAAACCAAGCAGGGACGGAGTGACTTCTCAGGAGAGGTGATAAAGCCGGAGGCCCTGGCGGGATCAAGGGGGTGGGTTGGTGAAATTCCCCCTCCAAAGGAGAACCAGAGTTCCCGGCCATTAGGCTGCTCCCCCTTCCCTGGCTCCTTCCTCCTGGCAGAAAATGGGGTCAGGGCAAGGGCCGCCCGAGGGGAGAGAATTCCAGGGGTAAAACCTAGACGAATCTCGGTAACTAGGAAAAACAGCATTAATAACAACAATAATAATAAAGAAGGTACAGAAAAATGGCCCCGCGGGGAGGCCGGGACACGTCCGCACGCTCCGCCCGGCTCCCCCCGCGCACCCCCGGGCAGGGACGGGACAGGGAAGGGGACACGGGCGGGGGCAGCGGGGATGCAGCCCCGGAGCAGGCCCGGCACCCCCGGCGCGGCCGCTCCCGCCGCCCGCTCCCCGCGCTCCCCGCCCGCCCTCCCCGCGCCCGCCCCGGCCGCGGCCATCACGCGAGGCCGGGGATGCGCGGCCTACCCCGGACCGGCGGGAGGACGGCGGGAAGGAGGAGGGCGGCGGGACGGGGAAAGGGCAGCGGCAAAGGAGCGGGAATGGGAAGGGGAATGGGAAGGGGAATGGGAATGGGCAAGGGCAGCGGCCCGGCGGCCGCGCGGTGCCGGCGGGCCCGAGGCCGCGGAGGGCCCGCGCTTACTCCGGCGTGGGGTGCTCCGGGTCGTAGAAATCCCCCATGGTGGGTGGGCGGGCGCGGGGCTCCGCAAGTGCCCCCAGGCCGGGGAGGCCCCGCTCGCCCCGTCGGGGCTCCTCACATGGTCCGGCGGGGCCCCCCCGCCACCCGCGCCCAGCCCGGCCCGGCCCCGCCGCGATCCGCCCCGGCCGCCGGCTCCTCCTCCCGCGGCACCGCGCAGCGCCGGGAGCCCTCCGGGAGCGGCCGCCGGGCCCCGCCGCGCGCCGGCATCGCGCCCGCCGGTGCCGCCAGCAGCCGCGGCCCCGCCGGGAACCCGCGCGGCACACGGAGGGATCGCCGCCGAGATCACGGCGGGCACCGGCACCGGGATCCGCCGCGGGGCCACCGGGACTTTCTTAGGAACATATTGGGATCGTTCCAGGTCATCGCCGGGGGCACGCCGGAATCAGCCTGGGTGTCACGGGGTCCCAACGAGATCCAGGAAGGGGTCAGCGGGGCACACTGGGATCAGCGTGGGACTGCCGGGATCTCCTCCAGGTGAATGCTGCACCACCAGGATCTCCTCCAGGTCAGCCCTGTACCACCAAGATCTCGTCCAGGTCAGCCCTGCACCACCAGCATCTCCTCCAGGTTAGCGCTGCACCTCCAGCATCTCCTCCAGGTCAGCCCTTGCACCACCAGGATCTCGTCCAGGTCAGCCCTGCACCACCAAGATCTCCAGGTCAGCGCTGCACCACCAGGATCTCATCCAGGTCAGCCCTGCACCACCAGGATCTCCTCCAGGTTAGCACTACACCACCAGGATCTCCTACAGGTCAGACCTTGCACCACCAGGATCTCCTCCAGGTCAGCCCTTCACCACCAGGATCTCCTCCAGGTCAGCCTTGTACCACCAGGATCTCCTCCAGATCAGCCCTTGCACCACCAGGATCTCCTCCAGGTCAGCCCTGCACCACCAAGATCTCGTCCAGGTCAGCCCTTGCACCTCCAGCATCTCCTCCAGGTTAGCGCTACACCACCAGGATCTCCTCCAGGTCAGCCCTTGCACCACCAGGATCTCATCCAGGTCAGCCCTGCACCACCAGGATCTCCTCCAGGTCAGCGCTGCACCACCAGGATCTCCTCCAGGTCAGCGCTACACCACCAGGATCTCCTCCAGGTCAGCCCTTGCACCACCAGGATCTCCTCAGGATCACACCTGGATCACTCCCAGGATCAGCCATCAGATCACTAAAATCTCCCTAGGATCACCAGGACCATACCAGGCTCACCCCTGGGATCACCAGGGCCACACCAGGTTCAGCCACGCTGTTCCTGGGATCTCAGCGGGAATCCCCTGGGGCCACACCAGGACTGGCTGCAGGATCTCCTTGGGATCACCCCTGGGATCCTCAGGATCTCACCAGGAGCAGGTGGGAGATCACTGGGGTCACACGTGGATCAGCTGCAGAACTGCTGGGATCACCAGGGCTACACCTGGATCACTCAGGGACAGGCAGGGACTTACCAGGATCTCTCAGCATCACACTGGGATCACCCCCAGGAGCACACCTGGACACCAGCACCCCTTGGCACCAGATCCTTGGGGCTGTTCCAGGTCCCATTCACCCTAAAAAATCACTAAACCCCCTCTTTTTCCTTTCACAGGTCATTTCCCACCTTCCCAGTCCCTGGGAGAGCTCCTCCATGGAATGGTGCTGGAGCACTTCAGGAAACCCAGCTGCTTCTGGGATGTCTGTTCACATGGAATCCTCCAAACCACAGTTACAGCTTCCAATATTGAGATTTCTGGGATTTTCCCAGATTTGGGAGCATGGTGTGGACAGGAGGGACCCACAGGGATAAAGTGGGAAGCAGAGGAGGGGTGGATATAGGGAAGGACACAGGAAGGTTTAGTTCCAGTCCTGTGGAAGCATTTTCCTGGGAAATCCAGCCTGACCTGAATTCCCAGCAGCTTTTGGAACCTCTGGAATTGGATCATTACAAGGAAAAGGTGATTTCTGGGATGTTCTCCAGTGCCCTCCCAGGGGCCAGGTGCTGTTTTGGGGACAGAAGGAAGCTCCAACAGACCCAAGCAAACTGAGCACCGTGGATCCATTCCCTTTGCCAGTTCTCCATGGAACTGGGGCTGGCCTGGGGAAAATCTGGGATGCCTGAACTGGGGATGCTCCTGCCATGGCTGGTGCTGGTTTTGGCAGCTGGGGGCTGTTGATTTGGGGCTTTCAGCATTCTCCTCTAGACCCCAAATCCTTCTGAGGGAGCTGGAGGGGCTCATCCTGGAGAAGAGGAGGCTCAGGGGGCACCTTCTGGCTCCTGCAATTCCCGGGAGGAAGGTTGGAGCCAGGAGGAGTGGGGCTCTGCTCCCAGGGAACAGGACAAGAGGGAACGGCCTCAAGGGCAGGTTCAGGTGGGATATTGGGAATGTTCCTCTTGGAAAAGGCTCTCCAGCCCGGGCCCAGCTGCCCAGAGCAGGGGTGGAGTCCCCATTGCTGGAGGGGTTTAAAAGCCCTGTGGATGTGGCACCTGGGGACACGGTCAGTTGGACTTGACCTTGGAGGACTTTTCCAACCAAAACCATTCCGTGATTCCCCAGAAATGAATCTTTGTTTCATTCCCTTCTCCAGGCAGATCCAACAGGCCAAGCCACGACTCGTTGCTCCAATGGGAACAACAGGAGAGCTGCAGCTCGAGCAGCAGGAAAGAGGGAATCAGGAGCAGCCTGGGTTATCCACAGCAACCTTTGTGCTGTGATCCTGCCTTTTCCAGAGGCTCAGGAAAACAAGTGGTGCTGCTGGAACTGCCTGGCTCATGTCCTGTCCAAACAGCGGCATCGATTCCCAGTTAGCTCCCTGCCTGCCCAAAGGTTGCGTGGTTCACTTTTCCTGCTGTTTATTTTTATAAATCGATGGTGGATGCGAGCAGGAGGCACTTCCTGAGGTGGCATTCCTTCGGGAATGCTGGGATCCAGGCTATGTGAGGGGCAGGAAGGACAGGCCTTTCTTCTTCCCAGCAGCCGGGACCAGTCCGGGTTTCCTGTGGATTTTCCGGAGGGCCGCCATGGTCCTGTTGAAGGTTTGCTGGGAACAGGGAACACAAAGGGATCACACTGAGCTCAGCTCAGCTCTCAGAGCACAGGTCTCACCTGTAAAAGCTTTTTTCCTGAAAAATAAAACCGAATGCCTTCTCAGACTTTCCAAGTGGTGCTGGAAAGAGCTGGGAAAATCCCCATTACACCAGCACTGCTCTGCTGAGAGCAGATCCCAAGGAGGCTCCAAGGAATCCCTAGGAAGTTCTCCGGGGCACTGAAAAGATGTTTGAGATGTTTTCATAGAATCCCAGAATTATTTCAGTTGGACCTTAAGGCTTATCCCAATCCACCCCATTCCATGGACAGAGACAACTTCCACTGTCCCAGGCTGCTCCAGACTAAATCCAGCCTGGCCTTGGACACTCCAGGGGATCCAGGGGCAGCCACAGCTTCTCTGGGAACTCCATCCCAGCCCCTCCCCACCAGGAATTCCTTCCCATATCCCATCCATCCCTGCCCTCTGGCAGTGGGGGCCATTCCCTGTGTCCTGTCCCTCCATGCCTTGTCCTTCTCCAGCTCTTTAGGCCCTGGAAGGGCTCTGAGTTCTCTCTGGAGCCTTCTCCAGGCTGAACATTCCCAGCTCTCTCTGGGTGAATTTGTTCTGACCAGGCTGGACAGGGCTTGGAGCACCCTGGGATGGTGGAAGGTGTCCATGCCTGTAGCAGGGGCTGGATGATCTGAAGGTTTCTTCCATCCCAATCCATTCTGGGGTTCTCCCAGGCCCAGCTGGGGTTACCTTTTGATCTGTCTTCATCCTGGCCTTGTAGAAGGACACGGAGCCCGGGCAGTCTGGCAGCGCCGTCTCCTGCACCCGCTCAAACTTGTCCTGCACGTCTTCATCCTGCCAGGGAAAAGCATTCCCCATTCCATGTGCAAAGCACACACCTGGAGACCTGGGACAAGGATCCCCTTTGCTGCACCAAACACCAACTCAGCCAGGAAAACCCTGGAAGTGAGAAGTTCCCCTTTCCACACCTCAGAGGAGCAGCTTTGGGCAAAAACCTGCAAGGGTTGGGATTTTCCCACAGGAAAAAACATTCCCAGCTCTCCCAGCCTGGCTCCAGCCCTGGGGCCTGCTCTGGGTCTCTCCAGCAGCTCCAAGTCCTTGTGCTGTTGGATCCAGGGCTGGGGCAGCTCTGCTGGTGGGGTGTCACCTCAGAAGTACAGAATTCCCCCCTTCTGGTCACACTTTTTTTAGATGCAAGAATTCTGGGAAATGGGAGTTGAACAGAAATGTGCTTTTCAGGATGAGAAAAGACCCAGGTCCCCACAGTGGCTCGTACCACAGGACTGGTACTGACAGTGCCACAAGAGTTTGGCTGCAAACCTGTGATCCCACAGGCTGGGAATCCAAACATCCCTGCAGCCCCAGGCACTTTGCCCAGTTCCTGATCTTCCACAGATGCCCAGGTGCTCAGTCACTGTCTTGATTTAGCCTCCAGACAGTGAAGGGAATGTGACAGCAGGATGTGGCTCCAGATATTCCCTTTGTGCCTCGTTCCTTCTCCTCCTTCTCCTTTTTCTCCTCCTCCCTCATTCCCTCACACCCCACACGTGGCTGAGGAGAATCAGCAGAGCTCTGGGATAACTCACCAGGCACATGACTCTCTTTAAGGGAACCATTCCAGGTCTGATGTTCCCACCAGGCTCCAAAGCTTTCTTCACATCTTTAGGGAGACGGACGTTTTCGTTGTACCAGATCTCAAACTCTGCAAAGCAAAGAGGGGCAATTAATGGCTGTAATTAATGACCCAAAAGACAGCATGGAGTGCTTGTCCTTATGGATCAGGCAGGATCTCAGTGCTCTTTAAACCCTCAGACAGAAGCTCAGAACTCCAGGATTTGGAGTTTAAATGATTGGAAAAGTGAATTTAAGGAGGCTGTTGGCTGTGCTGAGGTGGGCAGGAGGTGGTGGCCAGCTCTGGGGACAGTCCCCTGGCCATGAGAAGGCACCACTCCTGCAGCCCCCAGAATCCCTTTGGAACGAGCAGCACGGCTGGGGCTCAGATTTCAAACCCACACACTCAAGTACAGCCATTTGCCACCCCATAATAGGCAGTGAGAACACACAGCAGGTGGGAATTATGTCCTTATTAATCCTGGGCATTTCCCACTGCTGATCTGGGTGAGCCCTGGATGTCTGAACAAACAGCAAACATCTGGAGCAGCCAGAAATGCCAAACCTGGATCCCACAGAAAGCAGTGGCACAGCTGTGATTGGGGCCTGTTTATCCCTGGAATGATGGGAATGATAATCCCATTTATTCCAGCGTGGGATACTCTGATGGATCCAAGCTGCCCCCTGGCAAATGTTGCCATGTGCACAGTGTCCAAATGTTTGGAAATCTGGAATTCCTACAGGGACCGGCTTCCCTTAGAGGAGCAAATCCAGGGATACAGCAGGGGCAGTTTGAATGCACAGGTGGAGCCCAGCAGGAATTTGCATGGATTTCCCAGGCAGAGCTGTGGCCAAGCTCCTTTTCCTGATAAGGCTGCAACTCTGGAAGCTGGAAATCACACAGGGACAGAGGAAATATTGGGAATCCAGAAGCAAAGCTCTATTCCAGGGCAATTCCTTAACCAGCAACTCTATTCAATAAAATCAAGGAGGAGATCTGAGGTCAGCAGTGTAAGATTCCTTGTAGGAGACTTTTTCCCCCATGTAGGGGTGGGATCAAGAAGTAGAGGGACACTGTCTGGAAGAGAGGATCTGCAGCAGTTCAAGGTTAGGTCAGAAAACCCCACCTGATTATGGATAAAATCCATTCTGGAAGGCAACAGGACACAGGACAACAGAGAGTGGTAATTTGGCAAGGGGCTGGAGGGACAGGACAAAGGGAATGGCTTCCACTGCCAGAGGGCAGGGCTGGATGGGATCTGGGGAAGGAATTCCTGGCTGGGAGGGTGGGCAGGCCTTGGCACAGGTGCCCAGAGCAGCTGTGGCTGCCCCTGGATCCCTGGCAGTGCCCAAGGCCAGGCTGGACAGGGCTGGGAGCAGCCTGGGACAGTGGGAGGGGATTGGAACTGGATAAGCTTTAAGGTCCCTTCCAACCCAAACCATTCTGGGATTCCATGATGTTTGGGAGTGCTCCAGGCTGGATTTATCCCAGCTGAGCTGGAGGCTGCTGAGCCCTCGTGCTCTGTACCTGAGATGAGCCTTTTCCTGCACTTATCCAAGAGCTGCTGGCAGTATTGGATCTCTGCCTTCAGGTCCTGCAGCTCGGTAAAGCCAGCCCTGTGCTCCTCCTTCAGCCCCTTCAGCTTCAGGATGAGGGAGAACTCCTCCTCATCGATGATCACCTGTCCTTTCTCATCCATGTATTGGCCTGGAGAGGGAGAAAAGGAAGGGAAGGTCCTGGTGAGGGTGGAGAGCAGGGACAGGGCTCTGCAGATGTGACACCTGATGGAGGGTCTGACTTGGCTCTCAGGGGGAAAATCCCTGGGATTGTTTAGATGGGATATTGGGAAGCAATTCCTGGCTGGGAGGGTTGGGAGGTTGCCCAAAGAAGCTGTGGCTGCCCCTGGATCCCTGGAAGTGTCCAAGGCCAAGTTGGATTTGGTTTGGAGCAGCCTGGGACAGTGGAAGGTGTCCCTGCTCATGGCAGAGGTGGAGTGGGAATGTCCTTAACATCCCTTCCAGCCCAAACCATTCTGGAATTCTATGACCACACAAAACTGCTCTGGAACCTGGAAATCACATAGGGACAGAGGAAATATTGTGAATGCAGAGGCAAAGCCCTATCTCAGGGTAATTCCTTAACCAGCACCTCTATTAAATTAAATCAAATCAAGGATGAGATCAAGATGAGACCCCGAAGCCCAGAGCTCCATCCCCTGTCCTGTGCTGCCTCCTCACCCTCCTGCCTCCGCTTCTGCTTCTGAGCCTCCAGAGCCTCCTTGATTGCCTCCATCTGCTGCTTGAGGCTGTTGATCTCCTGTGCCACAGCATGGCTTCTCTTCTTCTTGGCAATGAGGATTCTCTTGTTGTCCCTGAAGATCCGGTGGATCTCCTGTCCAGTCACCTTCTTAAACAGCTCAAAGGCCTCTTGCTTGGACACAGGGGGTCTGAAAGCAGACACAGACACAGAGCTCACCCTGCCCTGCCCTGCAGCGTGCACTGAGTGCTTCAGCTTGGAAAAGCTCTGCAAAATCTTTGAGTCCAACATCCCCCAGCACTGCCAAGGCCACCCCTGACCCATGTCTCCAAGTGCCACATCCACATGGATGTCACATCCCTCCAGGGATGGGGAATCACCACTGCTCTGGGCAGTTGTCATAGGGCTGGAGAGCCTTTTTGGGGAAGGAACATTCCCAATTTCCACCCTGACCTCCCCCGGCCCAGCCTGAGGTCATTCCCTCTCCTCCTGTCCCTGTTCCCCAGGCTGTCCCCTCCTGTCAGGAACTGTGCAGAGCCACAGGGTCCCCCCTGATCCGCCTTTCCTCCAGGCTGAGCCCCTTCCCAGCTCCTTCAGCCACTCCTGGGACTCCAGACTCTCCCCCAGCTCCATTCCCTGTCCTGGACATGCTCATTATGGTGAGGGGCCCAGAACTCCACTCAGGATTTGAGGTGTGGCCACCCCAGTTTTTGGGAATAGCCACAGCTGAGGTCTGATGGGGTTTCAGTGGGTTCCTTTGGGGTCCCTGGCACTGTTCCCATGCCAGCCCCAACACCCACTGTCCCCCAGGCTGCTCCCAGAACAAAATTCTTCACCCTGACACCGTATTCCTCAGGAGATGCCTCACAACTGGGTATTCCCTGGAAAGCTGGCCTTTCATGGGCTGAATTTTCACCAAATTCATGGATATTGTTCCTCCCTATTGTTAAACAAATGCCTTTGCTGTGCCCATGCTGCATTCCCAGCAGGATCAGCCCCCTCTGGAGCCAAACCCCGCAGCCCCAAGCACTGGCCAGCTCCACAACACTGCTGCCACGCCTTGCAAGTCCTGCATGTTTCCCAAGTCACAATTCCAAGTGCCATTCCTGACTTTTCTGTGAAATGGCTTTGATGCCAGCATGTCCCTGTGAGCATCTGGTGTTATTCCAATATGAGCCACCCCAGGCAAGAAAAGGAGAATGTCACATTCCACAGATACTCCTG